CCCAACCAATTTGGCCTCGGGACCGTGGATGTTGGATCTCTATTCCTACTGCTGAGGTATTTGTCAGACCAAAAATAATCGATTCAATGCAATCATTCAATTCGCGATGATTCCAAAAAGTCCAAATCTAGCTAATCAGAGCGTAGTTCCAAATCAAAAATCCAAAGCAGTAAGCAGTTGTCTATGGGTATTGTGCGCGCAACGCAAATCTATCATCTATCGTCTATCCTCTATCCTCGTCTCTTCGTATCATAATGTTATGCCTCTTGCATAGTCGCCAAACACACGCGGTCGCGCAGATAGAGTTCAATTCCCGCCTCGGCACAGGCACGGTGCAGCGGCTCTACCGTCTGATACACCCGGGGTTTGATCACTTTCTCGTCGGCGGCCTCCGCCGGCTGGTAGCCTGATGCGTCCTCATCCTCCTCGTCATGGAAGAAGCCTTCAACGTCGAGTCGTCTCAGGCCCTTGAATTGCGTCTTGCGCTTGTTGAGAACCTTTTGGAGCTGTCCAACCAGCATGGCCAAAGTATTTTCCTTACAGCCTTCCACATACAACGATTCGACCGACGCAGGAAGCACATCGGTGAGCGGGCACGACGGTTCATACTGGTAGCGAACATCAAGCAGGTTGGGCAGACGGATGCGGAGTTCCTTCAACGCAGTGAACTCCGTCAGAGGTCCAAACCACTCGTCGTGCGTCTCGTTCGCTCCGGCAATGGTGAAAGGCAAATGGGTGCCGCAATTATCCAGCCACAGGGTGTGCAGGCTGCTCTTGCTGCTCGCCAGGGACTCGAAGAATGCAGAAGGCTGGAACCCCTCTGCAAGCAGGTGTGAATCGGAGTGTTGGTACTTGAAGGACTGCAGCGATGAGCATGAGGCGATCAGGCTTTGCATGCCCTGAGATCCACTGCTTGTGTTCAGTGTAATCTCAGCAATGGACGAAGAGCCGGGAGTAGGCTCCTCAACCGGATGGGTTGGTTCAGGCTCATCCTCGCGTGGGCGGGTGGATTCAACCACCGAGTCCGCCGAGAATGCCCGCATGGATGGCAATTGAAAGAAAGGAAGGACCTGGGAAGTCATGTAGCTTCCTCGACTGTCTTCCTCGTCGGCTAAATGGCTCAGCGACACATCCCGCAACACACGGAATGCCGGCTGGTCGTCAAAGGGCTTTTCTCCCTTCACTGCCCGCTGCATCATGCGGTCCAGGTAGACATTCTGCTTGGGGTACACTAATTGCAGATGCCTCAAGTTACTCGCCAGCGGCAGAAGAAGCGCAATCCAAGCCTCTTCAACATTATCTCGGAGATCCTGCTCCCATTTCGTGTGCTCTTCAGCGGTTTGACTGAGGGAATAGGCCAATTGGGCAAATGGCGCCAAATCTTCGTCGGAGGGAGGGGAGGAAGGAGTGGAGGTGGATCTAGGACACCAGTCATGGAAGTCCAAGCTGCGAACCGCCCGAGCCAGCTCGGGACGACGGAGAACAGCTCCCAGGAAGGAACGCGTCTGGGAGCAGTCCTTTAGGGCAGCTGCTTGGTAAACCAAGCGCAGAAACAGGTCGTGAAAATGACGGCACACAAAAAGAAGGTTGTAGCGGTCCCGATAGTCTTCCACATACTCCCCGACCAGGAGGAGGATGTCATTGGGAAGTGGGAGTGACATACTGAAGGGGGATCAGCAATTGAAACTGAATTCAATGCATCTGGGGAAACAAAGCCAAGGGAGCAGCCACCGGAAGTCCGGGGGGATTTAAGGGTGGCCGCACACGTCGATAACCTAAGATAGGGGAACTGAGTTTTGCAAAATCCACAGCGTTGGTGAACTTTGCCAGCCTTAGGATGGGGAGCAGATCCATCGTGCGGGCCAATGGACGGCAGCTGGCGGAAGGGTCGTGGATCACCAGTGGCATCGGTTGACCTGCTCCATCCATGGTTAATCCAGAAGGGTTCCATAAGGGGCAATGGAGTCCGTATTGACACAACCCATTGCCAACCCATCCACTACAATTATTGCTGCGAGGCATGACGTCCCACCGCTGCGCTGTGTCCCCCCCACTACGGATAGCATCGTCGGGTTCCGCGGTTGTAAGGGCGAGAAAGCACCGAATCCGTTGCGAAGCGGAGATCACAGTCGTGGGGGAGGGCGCATGGACGATGGCGGTGGAAAATTCGATCACGGTGTGTGTTTAGTGTTAGTGTGTACCCGCAGTCGCTTGTCGCCACCGCCATTCAAGGCGCTGACGGGCCGGTGGAGTCGCGACAAAACAGAGGCTCCATCCACCGCGCGGGTGGGCAATGCTGATTCTTATTTTGCCGGAGGTGCAGGTGGTGGGAAATTACCCCTCTCGGCTGTCCATCTGCTGCAGATGGTTGCATTGTTTCTGCAGCCTGGGAGTCTGTGTCCGTTGCGTTGACGATCGTGATGCTGTCGATCAATGGGCAAGTGGCCTCGTCGCGGGGTCACTACAGTCCTCGGGAACATTCATCTTTGGTGTAATGGAACAGGTGTAGAACATAGTAAAGAAAGCTGTAGGCTGTAGTAAAACAAACTGGAGCAGTTGCCCTGAGCTGCCAACGAGCCACCAGCGGTATGACAGGGAAGCTGTGAGGGTTGGAATGTCCCGAATGGAAGAAAAGAAATCAATCCCGTGATGTCACATGCATGCGATCTGCAGCCCTTCCTCTACTCCGTACCCTCCAATTGCTTTTGCAAAAGTACTCAATGGCTTCAAAGCAATGCAGTTTACATTGTTTGATTAATTGACTGAATCAATCATCACATCAACATTGCAATCAGCCATGACCCTCGATGGATCTGCGATTCGGCAGGCCTGCTCGATCGGGCGAGGCGACACTCGGTGGATTCTGGCTTTTCGCCATCGGTGGAGCTCGGCGGATCCCCGATTGATGAATTTTCCCCCGCCGATGAAGCGGTGTTTCGGATTTCATCCATCGAGGACCTGCTTAGCTGGAGCTTAGATGGAGCACCTTTCACTGTTGTAGTTGACAGACACATATTGGAATAGCTTCGCTCATAGCGAGGGAAGCATCATTAAGGTGTCTATTGATACCTCAGGCACCTTAATCCTACAGTCATCTGCAAGCTACTTACGGAGTATATTCGGCTCTCTGTCAGGAACAAGAGATACGTTGACCGGCTTACTTTTGGCGTTCCCGACGGCAACCTGATTAGATCCTGCAATGTGTTGTTCGGCTAGACATGCAGCTAGATAAGTGTGTGTGTGTGGTAGCTTTCGCCTGAATGCAGATCCACCCGGTCTACTTCCTCTTTTCATCTCTGAGATCCTACTAGCCCTCTACCCATGCCATTAATAATGTTGAATAAACAGATTGTCTGTATTTATCTCGCCAGCTGCGGTTATGGCGGTAGACATGTGCTAGGATCCATGGGATCATACCATGGCTTCTACCTCGCTCCACGGATGATGCTGTGATAGGTATCTAGTCGACGCCAACACACAAGTAGATGATCCTATCTTATGTTCAATTTGGCTGAATCGCACGATAATCAACTAATCAATATGGACTACCTTTAATCAAGGTGACTCGGAGACAGTCGTGCGTAGTCTCATAGTTTCTTCGGTTAGTTCGAATGGCTCCTCTTTCACCGTCGCGCACGTCTTCCAAGCGGATAGTGGCCGGTAAAACCTCAATGATACTGACATGAACATACGGAGTCAGATTTTGGAGTATAAACTTGAACAATATTATTTACTGCTTTATGCATTAACATCATGTGATAACACAAGAACTTTTGCTATTACATAATAATTTAATCAGCATCTCTTCTCCCCACCAACCAACCAACCACTGATCTCCCACTACTTCTGCCTCATGAGCCGCTGATTTGGGGTAACCAGGCAAAATGATCTTGGAGATAGGAGTTGTAGATATGTCGGGGAATAGGGCATATAAGATGTTGAGCAATTTTCTTGAATAGATCTCATATAGTACTTGCTAGAAAATTCCCTCCGCCATGCCTTCTTCAGATCAGTCAAGCATTTGATCTATCCCACAGAACTTCCATGCAGAACTCAAGATAAAGGTATACACACCTAATATGGTCCATGTATATTCTTTCATGATATGCCGCCAATACTCGCGCTTCACTGGGGGACGGGAAAACTCTCTTCTGTGTCGGATCTTGAAGCAGCAAGAACAGGCGAGACGGCTTTTGTTTCTTTTCGCAAAGATAACTATATATGGAGGTGATACTACACTACGGCTTCTTCGCAAAGATACTTGCCTTTTCTATTCCCCTGCAGCGAATAGATATAATATCTTCTGTTGCAGTGTCATGGGGCTTTGGACTTGTACAATAGTCCGGAAGTATTGACTTGTCTGTGACAGAACCACTAGGGAAATATAGTCAAGGTACATAATAACATGGATTTGCAGCTCAGGCAACAGTGTCGTAAGGCAGTCCATGGTGGATGATGCTGTTCTTAAAATTTGGGGTTTCAAGGATGGTTTGACATAGCCGGCCATTTTTGATAACCGCTTACACCCTGCGTCTAATGACCTTGTAGTTACTTCATGTCCCATGCAAACCACTTAATGAAAGGTGGCTTGAAGCGGATCTTTGCCTCTGCTAGAAGACTGACTTCTTGTTCACCCACCAGCATCTTTACGAAGGGACGTATTATCCATGTACTTTTCTTTTCCACGTTGCCGACCATAGGGACAGCCTCCACGCTTCATTTGACTATGCATTCCGACCCAGCATATTGCTCTACATGCTTTTACTCAAATCAGAACAGAAGTGGCACCAAAGCAAATGTCATTCTTCTGGTTGACAGACTAGGCGCCGGGTAATCCACATTAACCGAGATTTCATACAGTCCCCCCCCCCCTCCTAGCTGGTAGATTTACAACACAAATTTAGGGTATGACCTTGAAGTTTTCGAAGAGACAATGATGAAGCAAAATAAATACACAGGGAACTCAAGAAAACTGGGTACTTTCCAACCAAGAACACATCTCAACTCTCTGCCTTCTCATCTGCGAACTCCCAAAACGTAACCTCACCAGACTCATTCCTCATAACCAAAACATTATCTTTCGTTACAATCACATCACGCGGTCTATAATGTAGGGGAAGGAAGACTCTTTCCGACCCATAAATAATTGAGTGGTCCTTTACCTGTATCTGCCGACTGGTCGTCGAGTCCCAATTTGGCAAAAATGATTCAACATCAATTCGACTTTCACTTGTAACAACCACCTCATCGCCTTCGAATTCCAATATCTCTGATCCAATAATGTCCCACTTCAAGTTCATGTCGGTGCGCTTGCCAAGCAGAGTTAGATTATCTTCAACTATTTCCCACAAGGAGAGGCTTCTTTCATCACTATCTATAGTAACAACCAGCCTTCCATTTGGGGAGAGTGCAGCACGAACCCCCAGATTCTCCAAAAGGACTGTTTTATCTGTCGCCAAATCGCACATAAAAGTACCGGCGGGGTGGTTGTGTTGCCCGCACACGTTCATGAAGCAGTTGATTGCCACTTTCGTCCCGTCGGCGGACCAGATAACCTTCATATCATTCAATTCTTCGTCGAGACCCGTATTCCATTGATGTCGATATCTCCCGTCAAATACATCCCATACTTCAAGGGTTATTGCTCTGGAATCCCTATCTTTCTGACCAATTGCGAGAAGCCTACCGTCAGGAGAGAATGACGAACAGGGAGTTCCGTTGTAACCGCGAGGAATGGCGGAAACCACGTTTCCAGTTATTATATCCCACACTGTGATGCGGAAATCATCTTTGCAATGTAAGAGCCAAGGTCTTGCAAAAAGCCTGCCGTCTGAACTGATCTCCATTACTTGATCACCATGAAAGTGGCCTTGGAAAAGGTCTGCGATGAGGTCATCGAAAAGCTCATTGGTGTTCGTTCCCTCCATTGCCGTCTTTATATTTGTTAAAATCGGTCCTTTATAGTCCCTGATCATGACTTGCCCAAGAATCTCAGCAAATCCTTCAGTGTCTGTATATTTCACTACCCGCAGAAGGGAGCCAGTTCTGATGTTCCAGAGACAAATTTGGCTTATGGATGCCGAGAGTGCAAATTGATGGTCATGAGACAAGGCGAGTCCACATACAGGGTCTAGCCGAGCTGCATGCTCTTCCGGTCTCATTTCTGAAGATAAATCCCAAACTTGAATTATGCCTTTGAAATTAACGGATACAAGAATTCGACTATCCGAACTGAAAACAAAGCCCGAGTGCTGCGTGGTGCTTCTAAGGATCGTCAAAAGCTTGCCTGTTGCTGAATCGAGAAGCTCGGTGATAGGTTTGCCAGAGTCTTGTTTCCATGCAACAACATACTGTTTCCCGTTCGGCGATAGTTTACCGATGCACCATACCGGGTTGGGCGTACAAACTGTCAATAAACGTTGGCCAGTTTCGCTGTCCCACCTCTGAAGCTGTGTGAGAAGATGCCAGGTTGTTATAAGTTTTTCGCTTGGGGAGAAATGCATTAGGGTGTGTGAGCCGAAGGACTGGCAATCTCTCCACTCTAGTGAATCATCGATTATCTCCACCAACGAAGTCTTCGTCCTCCATTCCCATAGCCGGATTAAAACATAGTCATCCAATAATGTTTGTGTTAACAATTCACCATTGGCGGAGAATGTCATCTTGAAGTCCTTCCCTATCCCTGAATATTGGCTCAGCGATAGTATGAAATCGGACTCACTTGTATCCCAAAATATTATACTACCATCATTCAGAGCTACTGCCAAGGTGGCTCCATCTGCAGACCATGCGATGGTATTCACAGTTGTAGAAACATGAATCATCTTCTGTGTCCCTTGTGCTGCATAGATCAAACCAATAGTCATTCTACCAGGGTATACCGCTGCTAGACACCCTTGAGATGAGAATGACCAATTAAGAGGCTGTACCGAGCATACGCCATTGGTGGCATCGTCCTTCGTGAGAAGGATTTTTCTGAGCAACATCCCAGAACCTATATCCCATACTTGGACACCCTCCAAACCCTCAGAGAAGGAAAGAATGTGCTTGTCGTCAGGAAGAAACATAATAAAGTCTGAATTCCCACCACAGTCGATCGTATATAGCGATGTTCCTGTAGTTAGATTCCATAATCTGATCTTGTGGCAATTCCAGGACCCGCACAACACAGCAAGGGTCTGCCCATCCGAAGATATGGCTAGGCAATTGCTAGATTCTCTGTTATCGAGTTCTTGAAGCAGAGGATCCCATTTGTCTTTCATTTCAGGCAGCCTGGAAAATGTTCGTGGGATTAAACACTGAAATGTATTCCGGCAAATGCTATGTTTTGGGGAGAGAATAAGTGCAGAACGATAGACTTGAAGAGGGGCGTTTTCGATTTCGGTCTTGGACGCGAGCATAAAACGCTTCATGTCAAACACCATATCTTGAAGCCCGGCTCTCCTTTCGGTCTGGATGAAGTAAAAATATGGTTAGTAATGAGTGAATAAATGAATAAACGGAAGCTATTTGACTCACTACCTACCGGCAACACAGCAAGGTAACGTTCAAGCTCGATGATGATGAAAGTTGCTTTCGGTATTATTCGAAGAAGGCTCATGACCTCGATCCAGTACAGGAAATGCTTCTTGAGAAACTCGTGCACGCAGTCATTATCAAGCGGCTCGAAACCGGCTTGTTGGAGATGGTGCGCCCAATATTGGGAAGCATATCTCACGGAGACTGGAAGATTTTGGTCCAGCAAAGATGTATCAATATCTTTAACCAAGAAGGATGGGTCATCGAGAGAACAAATGTCCTGCTTCAGTGTACTCGACAGAATCCTTACGCAGCTTGTAAACAAGGCCTTATGGGCCTCTCTTGGGTCAATGCAGAATTCGTCATAAAGGCATCTCCTTTGAGGCTGACCTAGAAGAAATTCGCGAAAGGACAAGTGTAGCAATCGGATAGGTAATTGAAAATCATCCCCAAACGAGACAACAGAGCTCAGACTAGTCAATAACCTTCGAATTTTTGTTGTCTTTCCAGACAAATCCAAAAGGTCTTCGAGAGGTGCAATCGAGAGAGGTTCGGCTAGGACAACAACGGCCCCAATTATCCGTTTAAAAAGCCCAAAGAAATCGGCTTTCTCAGTCTTCGTTTTCCTGCAGCTGTGAATAACAGAATACTTCAGAATCTGACTATATGTTCGATCCAAAATCTCCTGTGGTGATTCTCCCGAGTCGTCTGCAGATAGTTCTCGCATACGTGCTTGCAAATCTTCCAAGTCGTCTACCCCATCCAAGAAACGACATGCGGTAGCTGCATAAATGAACAGGCCATCGCTTTTATCCGCGAGAGTGCGGACAATTCTCTTTTCATCATCCTGACTGAGCCAGCAGGTAGACTTCACACGCCACTTAGGATTGTCGATGGTGGCATGGGATGCAATTTCTTTGATTTGATGCTCCAGATACAAGGTTATGTCATCTTTTGGAAGTTTGGCCGCCTCAGACGTCATTGGGGTCTTTCGAAGTTCGAAGTCTCTGACACTGACCTCTCCAGAAAGAAAATGAGAAAACCGAGAGTATATTTCTGGCCTGCTGGTGAGAAATATCTTCAGCCGAATAGTTCTCAGCTTGCCAGCTGTGGCCAGAAGCCTCAGGACGCCTCCAATATCATGGGCCGGTTTCCCGGCCTCCTCAGGGTCCGCAGATACGGCCTCATCGAGTGCATCTAGCATCAATACTAGTGTCACAGGTAGAAGTAGCTCCTTTTCAAGTGTCAAAAGTGGCTCTAGAATCAACTTGTGCCACTGGTTGCGCAAATTCTGAGTGCCGATATATTGGTTCTCGGAGATTGCTTGGCATATCTTGTGTCTCGAATCTGGGAATGATGATGCTAGCTCGTTGGAGACAGAAGGAAACAACTTCTCAACGGTGTTGCGCCCAGGCTCACTTCTATCAAAGAAAAAACTGGCACCGAGATAGAGGTGCACCGGAAGAGAGGGTCCATGAGGAATAAGTGACTTGCGCTCCTGGCACGCAGCGGCAAAGGTACGGGAGATTGTAGACTTGCCGGTTCCTGCCATTCCTCGAACCCAGAACACCTGAGAATCATCCGGAGACTCAGCCCAGCACTGAATTTCATGAAGTATCTCCGTCCGCGTGCCCTCGAGGCATTCTGATTTGTTTCCATCGTCGAAGGATCCATATTTTGCCTTCGAGACCACTGGAAGTTTCTCGAGAAGTTCCTTTTGTTTGGCCTCCTGTCATGATCACCTCGCATCAGTATGATTCTATTGTACAGATCTCCATTATTACGAGGAGGGCATACCTTGAAACTTTCCTTCAACACAGAGAGTGTGGTCATCACATTCTGCTGTGATTTCTCCAATTCCTTGAACATCTTTTGGATATCGTCGCCAGCGAATAATGTCAAATTCTGGCGAATCTTCCCATCAAGACTCGTTATCGACTCGAGCAGGTTGCGCCACTTATTAAAATCTACCCAGTCCTTTAAAAATCGCGTGTACCCTGAATGACTGAAGTGAGTGGCAAGACAGATGTGGTACTCCAGTATAAGAACATATAACTCGACTGTCTTGGACCTCACCAGCTCTGCAAGATGCTGAGCCGATTCGGCTACTTTAGAGCCGGATTTCATATAGATTCTGGTCTGACTCTTCTCCAAAAATGCATATCGGATCATCAGGTCTGATACAGCCTGAAACCCATTCAAGGCGTCCTCATTCTGATGGAATGATTTGGCCAGCGGATCTAGAAGGAACAAAACACCCGCCCATGCTATAGAGGCATGCAACTCTGCGCTCACTGCGGCGGAAATAATGTCCTTCATTGACATAATCCCCCCGACGACGCGACGCACTTGTTTTCTGACCTCAATTTCTTTTCCTCTGATGTATATCTTGAGCCGTGACTTTTGAATTGCTTCGAGACGTGTTTTTACACAAGACTCGAGTCGAGGATCAATGTCATGATTTTCTACTCGACTCTCATGGTGCAAGCTGTCCGATTCTGTGTTAGAAAGAAGGATCGTCTCGTACTGCACAAGAAGGTCTGGGTTCTTATTTCGGAGGTCCGAGTAAGCCTTTTTCCACAGACCTTCAAGCTTCAGAGGGACAGGATCGGGAGTGTTCGTAGAACTCGCATTAGCGACTGGAGTCTTGTGCAAAACCAGCGATGCAGTACTTGTATCTTGAGAAACATTCAGGCTGGAGCTTTTTGGTGGACGGAGAGTCGCCTTTAATTCTTTCAGGTGCTTTCGGAAAGGCATTATCTCGGAAGTGGCAGTCACTGATGCGAAAATATTCTGGAAGAGCAAGAGCGAGGCAAAGATGGCTTCAGAGCCTGGACCGCCACCTTACCCCTCACCCTAATCTCCGTATGTTCGCTTAAACAAACTAGTAAGATTTCCTTTCTTCCCAGCACCTGCATCACAAGGGGTGTGTAGTCTCGACATCATTGGTAACAGCCCCACGCTAGCCTTGTCACTTATGCATTGTGCCGATGAGCCTAGAACCTATGGAGAATGCTATAGAAGCAGCAGTATTCCGGCTTAGAATTAGAGAAAAAAAGAAACTCAAGATTCCATTGATATTCCTAGATAAGGGAGATGTTCCAAATTACGCATACCCTTTCAAAAGCAAAGTCATACTGAACGAAGGGCGCCAACAGCAACGCATCAGCACCCTAGGCAGTAACGACTTAACATCCATTCACTGCATAACGTTCGGCCTCTGCTGTTTTCTCTTCAATTTTTTCTTTGCCTCTTTGTACTTTGGATCTTTGTTGCTGACAATACGTCGCTTTTCCAGTGTACGCAAGAGCCTCAGAATATAGACCTGAGAGTTATAGCTCGGACCTTGGTTATTGATGCGTGCACGTTCTCCAGCATTGATAATAGCATCGTACACCCCCTGTCGATTTGGAATATCACACAAATTAACACGGTCGATGAAACTATCTTCATCTTCATCCGTCAAAAATCGTGTTTCGACTCGGTAAGAATCTGGGGATCCGACGAGGTGGATAATGGGCTTTTCGGTGTAGGTTGGCGCGTCGATGTAAAGCATCCAGTGTTTCAATACGCCGTCCCCTGGTAGTATAGCGACATACACGTAACAGGTTGGCAAGATTGGTAGGTCATCGTGGTAAATGTAGTTACATTCGGGCTGGCCGTCCGAGATGTCGCTAGAGTCCTCGGAGTCTTCAGAGTCCTCGAGATACTCGGACTCCTCGTGTTCCTCCATGATGGTGGTTGATTGCATGATTTAGGGTGAAGATGTGACAGACTGATAGAGGATAAGAAGTAGACTGGAATGAAGAGTAGACCTGTAGTGGAGTATGCCGAAGCAGGAAGATAGGACCGTTTAGTAGCAAGATCCGCAGATTGCAGGCAAGGCTAAGATATATCTCACAAATAGCGGGGTCAACGGCATCAGGCTGAGAAATATATCTTGAGTCATTTGATTGTGGAACAGATGCCCTGTCACACAGAGAGCGGATCATGTGACTGCATCTGGAAACACAAGGCCGAATTATCACCATCTGAACTGACCATCTGCATTTCTCCTCGCCAGTCTTCCCACCATGGCCTGGAGATACCTCGTGTCACCTCAACTATCCAGACGGCCTCACTACAGTCGTCACCTGTTTACATGTCCTCTCTGGCCCGTGCGGAATAACTCCCATTCCACTCATCCTCTCCTTGATCCAACCGAAAGGCTCGAGGAAGAAACCCTGCCGTGGTACTCACCCGAGAGATACTACCCTGTGAGAGTTGGTGAGGTACTCCAGTCGCGGTATCAAATCGTTGGAAAACTGGGCTACGGGGGATACTCCACCATTTGGTTGTGCAGGGATCTATTGTTAGTCAGATCTTATCCCTGTCCACAATCGACACGATAAATCTTACATAGTTAGCCCGGGTAGTCAGCGCAGCAAATATGTCACGCTGAAAGTCTTCGAGTGCAGTTCGCCAGAAGCACAAAGAGAGATGTCAGCTTACAATCATCTGAATTCACTTGATGTACCAGATCATGCTGGTGCCAAGCTTATTCGGAAAGCATTGGATAGCTTTCAGATCACTTCCGACAAGGGCACGTTCCGATGTCTCGTCCATCCACCCCTTGGAATGAGTATGCATGATTTTCGCACTCAACTCAGGGCCAAAGTACTTCCCGAGAATATAGTCAAGTTGACTTTAATGCATCTTCTTCTTGCTCTGGATTATCTCCATATGGAGGCCGGAATTGTCCATACAGGTTCGACATCCTTTCCAGGTTGCTGAAGAGGTGCCCCTACTAAGCTGGTCTCTAGATATACAAGAAAAAAATATCATGATGGGAATTGAAGATTCTTCTATTTTATCTCATTTCGAAGAAGAAGAGAAATCCAATCCCAGCCCGCGCAAAGTTGCTGGAGATCGGGAGATCTACACATCGCGGAAACTCAGAAAAACCAAGCAGCATGGTCGTCCAACGCTATGCGATTTTGGCCAGGCTCGCTTTGGATCGAGCTCCTACTCTGGGGATATTCAGCCATATATCTACCGGGCACCTGAGGTAATATTGCGATTGCCTTAGAATGAGAAGGTGGATATCTGGAATGTTGGAGTATTGGTAGGTATCTCACTCTTGTGAATCTCAGACCTTCTACTAATCCGAAATGACAACAGACTTGGGATATCTTCCAACAAGGACATCTATTCTACGGCCGAGATTCTAACGAAAGCCCTTCTGATGCTGATCATCTCGCTGAAATGGTTGCTATTATGGGACTACCACCGAAAGAAATGGTGCAGAATAGCGAATATGCAACCACGTGCTTCGACGACGAGGGTATGTTTCTATTCTGACTCGCAGAATACATTACTGATTTTGAATTAGGAAATTGGAAGGGAGCTGCTGATATCCCTCCTATATCTCTACAGAAGCTTGAAGGATTTCTACAAGGTGAATCACAGCAACTCTTTCTCCGGTTCCTTCGAAAAACCCTCAAATGGAATCCCATTGAGCGGCAATCAGCAAGAGAACTCTTGGAAGATCCGTGGCTACGGTCATCATAAATGTTCGATGTGATCTAGTCATAGTGAAGTAATAAACCTACTCCTATCACATACACTGTCATCGCACATATATCAAATGTATAATAGAACCTTAACCAACTATTTCTTTCCCTTACCACCAAACTTGTACACAAGACTCTTGAGCAGAGTTAACGTCTCTTTTATACATTCCTCACTCGTTGCGGCCGCGAAACGCGATGAAAGGTGCCCAATTCGACCCTGAGACCCTGCGAGTTGATAGAGAGGACTCTATTATCTGTTGAGATGGCTAGAAACCCTGAATCCTGTCCATTTCGAAGAAGCTTTGACGCAGGAGGATACCTCGTGATTGCTTAAGCCTTCCCCGGAATTCGCGATTGTGTCTTCCATATGTAAATAGGCATATCGAGAATCTCTAAAGGGCATAGACTTGCAACTTACCCTGCGGTTTTTCAATGAATCTATCTGTACTGCGTATGCATTAATTTCAAAAATAGAGAATTAACGGTGGAGCGGGGATACAAAGAACTCAGGAAATTCTTTGGTTCATATGCTAACAAAAGGTCAGCAATGGCTAGCTTGATAAGCAAAGAGGATGAGAATGATGAGTCCATGCTCCACGTACAGGCAGATGCCCTTATTGTTGCGGCAGGGAATAGCCAAGTTCCGCACGATGTGCCCTCACAGCTGGCAGGAGTCGAGGGCAGGATCGCCCATTCCAGCGCGTACGATGAATCTTTCATGCAGGAAGTTGCGGACAAGAAGCTTAGAGTTCTGATCGTGGGAGGCGGCGAGAGCGGTGCCGATATCTCGGCAGACCTATGTGAACAGTCGCCTAATTTGACGGTGTGGTTGCGACGTCCACCCTGTGTGGCCATACGCTACCTTAACAGGCTTGATGAGACACAACAAATAAAATCCAACCAAACCGTGGACTTTCCCGTTAGCATCTTCCTCGAATCCATCACTACGAATCGCTTGGGTGCAGCACAAAACGTCTATCTTTATACCTTGTACCGTCGTGCTGTTTTCTACAATGGCCTGATCCTGTCCACAAGAGAGCGCTGGTTTCTAGAAAGGTTGGCCCCAGCCTTCTTCCGCAGCGACCAATCCACGGTAATAACCAAAAGTTCGCGGTTGTGTCAGGCCTTGGACAGCGAGAAGTTAGGGGCCATAATAACCCCATATGTCTCTGCTTGTGGGCAGACTTGTGAATTCAGCCTGCCGGACGGGACCAAGCAACGGCGCGAATTTGATGTCATCTTGCTCTGCCATGGCTTCCGAACGGAATTCCCTTGGCTTCAGCTTCCTGATGGCATTCCTTTCTCGGCTAACCCACGGTCATGGTTTCTGCATTGCTTCCCCGAGGGGCTAGGCGACTGTCTCTTCTTCTTGGGCTACGCACGGCCTGGCCAGGGAGGCATTCCTCCTGCGGCCGAGATGCTGAGTCAATATATCGCATTGTTGCTTCGTGGTTTGTTGCTTCGTGGTGAAAGACAGCTTCCAGCTGATTATGCAGCCCAAGCACGAAGGGATGGGGCAGCCGAGCGCGAGTATTACTGTATAAGCCCTGACGTCAATTCTATGGTTGATTATAATGCTTTCATGGAAAGCGTGGCACGGAGGATAGGGTGTGAGACATACATGCCACTTTCCTGCGTGATCTTCTTTAATCTTCATATCCTGACTGTTGCCTTTATGGCACTTCGTTGTTGCTCGACAACACTAATCCCATTCAGTATGTCGACTCTGCTGGTGCTGTGGGCGGGGACAGCCATCAGTCTTTGCACACTTCATAATGGACTCCTCATCAAGTGGTGGCTATATCCCCACTGGGGCGTATGGTACCGCTACCGAGACCCGGGTGCCAATCCCTCCCTACTCAATGCGCTTCTGACTCGGCTGAGTCTGCGCAACTCGATTGTTTTAGACCCGCTTTTCATCACCTACCTCGTATGGTTTGCCTTATCGACCTATATACAGCGACTGCTCTTGATTGTCCTGTTCGTACCCAGTGCGCTACTATCTGCAATGGGTGTGCGTTTCCCTGAGGCGTGGGGAGGCCTGCTGCGCCCAAAGCTTTTTGTTCTGCACGGCTGCGAATTGCGTCTCTCTGACCTCTTTCTTCCATGACTTGCTGCAATTTTCTGCCAGTATCAGCTGATGTTGACAATGAATCTCCTTATCACACTTGACATAGCTTGATGTTATCATAGGCCACGAAGCTTGCTTGCATTGAGGAAGGCTCCATATATTGGGCCGTGGTGGTTTTCTCCTATTTCTTTTGGGCATCCGTGGTAAATCCATCTAACAGCTACGAATCATTTGGGTATTGCCTCGCATGAGGTCGTAAATTGTAGTATCTCAGGTTAAGAAATGCCACATGGGGACCTTTATGGGATAGTAAGGAATTAGATTACATAATCATACAACAAGTCAGTGTGGCCGAGTGGTTAAGGCGTCAGACTCGAAATCTGATGGGTTCGCCCACACAGGTTCGAATCCTGTCGCTGACGATGTACGACAATCTTTTTTTTCTTTCATCCAGCTGATGTAGCTGGCTATTAGGATCTGGACACTCCTTACATTTGGTATTCACTGCAAGCTTATAACTGATGCATGTTCTGAGTCTGTTGACTCAAATTTTTGCTATTTTTCCGGTTAGCGGAGTGGTTAGTAGTCCGGATGATTTCACTTCTGAAGCGCATCAGGATAGGATCGTGACATTGGCCTTAGATGTGACCTTGCCATGGAGGTTGTTCCTAGGCTCCTAGAGAGGCAACTCGGGTACATACCAAAAAGGTAATCACTAGTATAATATTCAGATATACTCAAAAAGAGTATTAAACAAAGGCAAAAAGCTTGAATCGGTGCGGGCGAACCCATCAGATTTCGAGTCTGACGCCTTAACCACTCGGCCACACTGACTTATTGCATGAAAGTTTCTCTCATTTTAAGGATTAGTACCCTATTACCTGCAAGGCAAGAACCTTCACAATCAGAAGCCCTGGAATAACAATGATACAAAGCTTACCAGAGATGTTTGTGCACTCACAAAGGAACTTTTTGAAATTATGAAAGAAGGAAAATTTTGTACAGCAGGAAATACAGAAAGGAAATAAGGTCTATGTACGGCAGCAGGAGAATCAGACTATATTATATGTTAGTAGTTCAGTGATTGATTAAGTTATATAGTATCCCGTCAAGTTCCTTCCTCAGGTTCCCTTCAGCTTTCAGTATCATCAACGTCCTCTACTACCAAATCGGGTACCGTTCCCCGTAGGCCCATTAGCGTCTTCCTACTGAAATTGTCAGTAGATTCTTGTTCTTCCTTATATGTCTCAAACTACTGCCGTCCTCAGTCCTCAGAGCGAAGCGGGCAGCGTAATGCGGAGGGGATGTTAACATGAATGACATGATTGGGTGGGGTAAAGCACGTAGTCCAAGGCGAACAACACTGGCCTCAGGCCACTTAGTACATGCAATGAGCTACTAATTCACGGAGGTACTTCCAACTCGTTGTCTTTTGTAATTATCTTATTCGTCTAGGTGGCTAGGTACTTGACAGGAACATTCAGCGGCACATAGAAACGTCACAGGCTGCGGATAAATAACCAGACACCTGTGATCCAGTGCCAGATAGTAGTAGGAAACCAGAATCAGAGAGACTTTATTCTCTTATGTCCTTGACCGTCAGATTTTCCAGCAAGCTCCGCACAATTCAGACTGCATTTCCCCGAATCAATCCTCGAAAGCCATCATGTAAAAAACGCCTGGTCCAGAAATAAAGAAAAGTAGAGGACGGAGCTTGCTTAAAAACCCGTACATGAAAATCCGTCAATATGCCTCTTTCTGAGCACCTTTCCAATGTGCGCGTATCTTATCGGGAAGAGTTATTGGTATATGTGTCTTCATTTGCCTGGTATAGCGCCCGATTTCGTCTATCGTAGTCCCAGGTCCGTCATTTCCACGCTGTCCGCTGAGCCCATCCAGAGGATGTTGTTACACCTATCAGCGTGTTGCGTTAGTAAGATTCTCCAAATATGCGCACATGTGCATCTCAGAGGAGGGGTAACGGATGCCCAGCTTCCAGCACTGGTCTCAGAAACCCCAGCCTCCAAGATAGCAGCCGACCGAATAAACGCACCTAATCAGCACCAGACCCAATGTTCCCGTGTTCTTTCCATCAAGGAACTCTTCCGTATCACGGAGCAGCACGTTCATGTACGAATCAATGCTCTCAAGCTTGCCCTTGTATTCCGTTTGACCCCACTTGAGACGGATGATGACCTCGGTACCGACTCTGCGAAAAGAATTAGAGAATGTTTTCCGGTAGAGATTGCTAGTTATAAGATGGGAGTGCGACGGGGCGATCAAGCGACAAGGGACCGAGTGCGTACCTAGCCTGGAGGAAAGGCCGGGGGTTGACAGGGTTGAACTAGATTCGCTGAGTTAGTTTACACCCTATAGCAATAATAGCGTACGCTTGAAGATAAAGGCGTGTTCAATGGAGTTGGGATAGGAGAGTACGAACACTCATTGTTGGTGGTCTCGAATCAATGCCAGCTGCTCAGCAGGAAATCGTAAAATATGGAAATCGATGGGGACGGACGCGCCAAAGGAAACGGATAATGGTAGAGATAAAATATGACCGTCTCCACGTCCAGGTGAGATTGAGCTGGTCGCGTGCTGTAAAAGAGCTGGGCAGTCTATCGGAGATCGCAGAGCCAACTTGACGGAGCTGATGCCGTCCGCGAAAATGTGATGCCGCCAGACGCGGGTATCGCCCAATCAGAAGCCACACAGAGACACCGCCTTCTGAGCACTGCAATATCGCTCCGCATTTCATCAGCTTGATGGTTGCATCCACGAGGCCATTAATTCTCTTCCTCCATCAGAAGTTGTTATTTTGCTGAATGTAAAAATATTCAGATCTTACAGCTTCTTCAGATTATATGGGCCAACTGAAGCGGTTCTTTTACATCCCGACATTGTATTTTACACAAGTATACTCAGCATCAAAGACGTCTTAAGGCTTGATCATCGCTGACATAGGCTAAACTACACTCCATTTCTCATTAAAAGATAATACAAGGACCACTCATGATTCCTCTTTCTTACGCCCTTCCGACCTGGAAATTGATCTCCTTAATCGAAACCTCATCTCCAGCCTTCTCATCGTAGTCATACCACTCTTCCTCCGACAAATCAATGCCGGTGAAAGGAGTAGAAGACTCGGCTCCCTTTGCTTCCCACTCACCCTGATATAAGGAGTTAGCTAAATTAATCTCTTCGTAGTCCAGCTAGGAACATCCAAAAGCAGCACGTAAAAAAGGGGAGGAGAAATAAGAGAGGAAAGAGGTACTTACATCAGCCTTAAATTCCGTAAACTCCAATCCTCTGCAGTCGATCTCGATCACCTTCTTCGCAGTGCGCTTCTCATCCGCCTCATAGACATTGGGGCCGGCAGTAATAGAGGCAGAGTGGGTTTTCTAGTATCAGTCAGTATTAGTTTACGTATAATCCCAGATGTTTCAGTGCCCTCAGTTGCGAGAACGGGGTTAGAAAATAAAAATCAACCCACCTGACACAGCTTGCATTTCCAGACAAAGTTCGCCTCACCCCTACTACCGGGGATTTCATGCTGTTCCTGCATACATAGTAAGTTTCCTTGTCGGAGAATCTATAGGACAGAAAAGCAAGAGCGGACTTACGAAGCGGTTGAAGCTGACCCAGTTGGGGTGGGTTTCACGGCAAGAGGTGCATTGCACTTTGAAGGTGTAGTAGTAGGGCTCTTCCTCAGTGTCCTTGGGACGGAGGTCGGTGACGCTGTTGGGTGAAGATATGTGAGTTGGAGTTCGTTCTAGGTGAGGTGCGGGGAAGAATCTTTGCGGAGGGGAAATGGCAAGTGGCTTTTTGGAGGTTTACAGGAGGTACGCATGGGTGGAAGGGTCGCTTAGTAGGAAAGAGGCAATACATACCCGCTGAGTTCGGCAGACAGGACGAGCGAAAGCATCTTGACTGTGTTTGTTGCTTGGGCGCGTGTGTGTTGATATGGAGGAAGGAAGTTCTTCAGTGCGGGGCCGTGATGTCGGTTTCGGAAGCACACATTAAAGACTCTACCGCCCTCCCGCCTGCTGCCCTTATTCACTTCAGAGTCATATTCTTGTGTTTGTCAACACTACCAACATTGAGGGACTCATTTTGTTTGGGATTCTGGTAATTATGATACATTATGCAGGATTGCATAGCCAGAAAGTAAACTTAGAGACATTATAGAGTACGTTAGTCCTAAGTTGTAGGCAGTGACATCTAAGTATCAGACCAATAGTAATGAGAATCTTGAGGCTTTAACACCAATTTGATGGTAATCTCTTCTCTCCACCAGTACTAAACAGATAGGAACTCACACTACAATACTACAATTAGCTATGGTATTTGGCTCTAGATCAGGGTAGTGGCCATCCTTTGCACCGTATTCTTAGTTGCACTGAATATAACCACTGGTGTGAAGGATGCACTATATTCATAAATTATCAGCTAGAGTGATTTTTTGTGGCTCCGCTCACACCAGTGAAATACCTCATAGGTGCTATACTTCGCCGATAATTCTGAGTCACAACTTCTACCGAGATTATATCTAAAACCGGAAAGACCAACTTCCGGACCGAGTGCTTTCACAATCGATCCATGTTTGGGAATGCACACTGATGAAATATCAAGTACCGTGTGCCGCTCACAGTCGGGGCATGTCCGGGACTTCAAATTCTGTGGGGACATTTACAATTCCGAGCCAAGTAGAAAGAGGGTCTTCGGATGCTGTCAGGAGCAAATCCAGCTTGTGGCATCGGCATGCCGATTGGTGACGATAGGCGGTAAAAGATATAAATTCATAACTGTAAGAGTTGCTGTGGTTACAGCAGTAACTGTGACTACTAGAAGTAGTTACAAGGCTTTAGAACTACCAGATGCCTACTCAATCTATGGATTGAACATCTCCTGGAGTATACTGTGGTGTGTTGTGAGTATAGCCTCACATACCATTGGCCTCGAATAGCACCTAGGAAGTACAGCGCACTTGAATAGCATCATTTTCATGGAACATACCAGCAATCTAGCTAGCTACGAGGGCTCCATATATGAAAATTGCATGCCTGGTGCTTTCTACAATCGCTCCCAGCACAATGTACCTAGCTTAATCTCTCTGTTTGGTGTTAAGGTGAATCTCGACCAATAACACTGAATGAATGCCTGTAGCAACAATAGGATGATTCAATAAAGCCTATTGAGAAAGTCCTATTGTCCAAGATCCTATTGTTCAAATGTTATAGAATAACCTATTATGGCTTAGTCTAGGAACACATGTTAGGTCAAGGTGCTCTATTGTTGAGAACAATAGCATTATTCACTCTATGATTTCCTATTTGGGGAAAATACTGCCCTGTATATATGAAAACCCTCATTTTGTAGCTTGATAATGGTATAGTTTCAGTTTTACTACATTCAATGGAGACAATAGGCTCACAATAGAACAATAGGATAGGTAATTGTGTCCTATGTGCCTGGCCTGCTTGACTATACTCTTCAACATCTTCGGATTCTTGTCTATCCAAACACCTTGATCATCTCTGCATATCGCGGTGCCTTCGTTGCCTGTCAGACTTCGTCTATCTAAGCCTCATCTTACTCGATCGGTCGACTGAAACACCTCGACTTCAAGATGGAGAGCAATAACGAAAGCAGCGAGACTTGGGAAGTTCCCATCATGCTCAGCCCGGAGTAAGATAACCTTCTGTTGCTCCCATTCTACGATGCTGACTGCAATGGAGGAACCTCAGCTACGAGGAAATTGCTAGGATCAATCCCTTCTACGACAAGATCATGGATATGTGGAACAAATCCGCTCAGGCCGCAACTGAAATGATCCTCTCCTCGGAAGGCTCCCCAAGTCTCTCCTCTCCGTCGTCACAGTCGACACATTCCGGAAACGAAAAGTCTTGTGTTCATCGAGAAGCATCTGCATCTTTGCTAAGAGAATGCCAGTGCTATGCCGACCATCATGTCCCTAAGCAGCCATGCACCTTGCTCCAGAACGGAAGAGAGCATAAGCCTTTGTATCAGACCCAAGACGGGCTTCGGACTGGACAAACTGCTCTTATCGAGAATGGTGATGGTTTCAGAAACGTGGTCCCCCGTTCTGTCCACCCTGTTGAGCACTATCCGCATGATCAGGTAGATGCGTCCTGTGTGGAGCCCGCCCTTATGCCAACAAAGACCACACACAAGAAGCTCTTCGGTGAGAACGGCTGGCTTGGATGCACTGCCGACATGAAGGATTTGTCCAGGGACAGTCATAAGTTCAGAGGCTTGAGAGGTCTGGGCAGGAAGGTTATCAAGCAAGTGGAAGAACTCGTAAGTGACCATTCGTCTCATTTCAGTGTGAAGACATGCTAATGTTGGTTTCAGGCCGAGGATGTGGCCAGGGCTCACCCAAACCCAATTATCCATGCCACACTTCGCCCTAGACTTGTCCCCGAATCGACCATCCCCATCTCGCTAGATCCTCCGACACAGGCCAAGCTGTATTCGGAAATGGAGGTCATGCTCTGCGTCAGCGCCAATAAGTTCCTTCTCGGACAATACAATGAGGGTCGTCTGTCTGAAGGGTCGATTCGCAAGGTCACCAACTATTGGGGATCGAAAAACCGGCCTCAGGTCATTGAGTTTCAGTTCGACCAGGCCACCCAGCGCCGGCTAATTCTGGCAAACATCCGGACTCTGCGTTTCAGCGGCGAATGCTCATCTAACCTAGTTCTCCTCAAGTCGAACCTGAATAATTGGAAGGCACTCAGTAAGGAGATGGGCGTTCGCACGTTCTGTTTTCCCGATAGCGCTGTTCGCAAGCACATGCATGACATCCATAAACTGCTGGATATGCTGGACGCGCCCCTTACTACCTATCTCACGTTCGAAGAGCTCCAGATGAGCATACTTTCCTTGATGAAATCCCATCTCGAAAAGCTTTGCCAGGTCGATGGTAGCCATGAGAAGTCGCATCTCCCCAGTCGAAAGTATGATGGACATCATTTTTGAGGCGCATTGAGCGACTTGGTGTCTCTCATTCTCTTCTTCGTTCTATCTCGGTTTTCTTCTATTCCCGTTGTCTGTCTCACCTTCCAGCTCAGCACATCAAGCAATGGTACATGCTAGAAGCGGTGACGAGTAATTAGTGTCTTAGCACGGCTTTATTAAGCCTTGTATCCATGATCTAGATAAAAATACAATCCAGGCCATGACACATTGAACAACTCTCATCTAAGACTCTCGTAGACGGTTAATGAGCGTATTGAGATACTCAACTCCACATCTGAGAGTCTGACAGCTTGGCTTGGCGGGCGCTTTCCTGCAGACACAACTCACCGTGCAGCCAGTGGACCAATCGCCACGTATGCATCACCACATCGTCCTGAAGCCTCTAAAATACAAGAATAGGGCGCGAGGTGACCTGAGACTAGCTAAAGTGTCTAAGATTCTGCCGGGCAATATATCACCAATCATTCGAACCCACTTATGAGTGTTCAGGCGCCCGTTGGACACAACAGAAGATCACACTCCCCCATCATGCCAAATCATCCGCGCAATGGCTCATAATATTCCGAGAAGGTCATCCGTCAAAGTTCCTGAAAGTAGTGAACTATAACAAGAATCTGGGACGATTAGTCCGCATGATGCGATTGACAACAACCCGCACAGTTCAACCATCCATGTCTAGCTGCAAAATTCAAATATGTTTCAGCCTTGATATGTCGGGCCCTGTTTACGGGAATGTAGAGGGCGCTGTGTATTTGTTGGCAGCCCCTAATTAGCTACGTGTCGAGTGGTCTTCCTTGCATAGCTAGCATGCTCCTAATAGTATCGAGGGCTTTCCGCCCACGCTAGGAGCGCTCGAGCATCCGTATGGCTCAATCTTGCGGTCTACTCCATAGTAGGAGAAAGATAAGATAGTAGTAGTTAAGAAAGATCCACCCTGACAGTTAGCCGCGATAACTCCGTAAGCTTCGTCTCTGGTTCCGCTTGGTGCGACACACTCACCGGTTTTACTTGAGCAAATCGAGCGAGTTGCAGAACCAGTAATATTCGCCCCACCAAAAAGAAGAGGGATGATCCTTCGTGGCTGGTGCTATGTGAGTAATGGTTTGAAATACTCGTAGTTGTTTGGGGCTGCCAATCGAGATCGGCGATCGCCTGGCCGGCTTTCACGTGGGCCGACGTCATGGGGTTCTCTGCAGATTCACCTGGATTCACCTTTTCTGCTGCTGCCACCTTTTCTGTCTCCGATCCATCTCCAGCTGCCTGGCTGGCTTCTGGAGTATCGCAGGTCTTTCTACTGCATCTCTTTTGATTATGAATCTTATCCTCAAACCTGGTATCGGGCTTTTTCGAAGCTCTCGCTGATACCTGGCCTCCCTTGCTGACCTACAATCCAGCGCGCGCTGGACATCCCCAACGACAGAACAGCGCTTCTGCCTATATTTGCACCCGACTCGGACTCACTGTCATGCCGGTTAGCCCTTGGTCACTTTGCACTGGCTTGGTTTATTTACACAGCTCTCTTTTGCGATAGTCCTGTCCCTGCTACTCGCCGTCACGATGACGACCGGCCCTATCCATACCTACGGCCCATCATGTTTACTCGCGGAAGACGACCCCGATCTCTCTGCCTGGCTTTCTTCCGATAAACCACCTAGCGTTCGACCGCAGTTCTTTTACACGTCCACCCTTGCAATCGACGATCCGTTGGCTGCTCTTCCCCCTCCAACTAGCGGTCAAGGTTCGGGCAATGAGTGGGCTCCGCTCCAGCCTTTCTCAGTCAGGGATAATGCGGCCCTAGAAGATTCTTGGAAACAATTGCAGCAGACCATAAGAAAAGAGCTCGATGGGAAATACAAACCTCAAAGTGGTACTTCGTCAACTAGGAATTCGGGCATCGATGTACCAGGCCGGGGGTTTTCTGTGGATCCGGGGAAATTGAAACAAAAGGGACTACATGACACAAGCTTGGCTGGTAGCCAGAAGAGCTCTACCGGTGGCCCTTCACGCTCCTTGGATGACCAATTACCTCCCAGCTCTCAAATACGGTCCAGAATCGAAGCTAGTAAGGCTGGCGTAAACAAAGGGCCTCGAGAAAGGTCACGCACACTTGGCAGTAGCTTAGATGGCGGTCCTACAGCTGGCACAGGTTTACGGCGCAAACTGGAGCCGCCTTTCAACGACAAGTCCGGATCGGTAGAAACCAAGGCTAATGAAGTACTAACAAGTGACGATGCAGGAGCTGATGGCGCAGAAAGCACCAGTCCGCGAAGCTATCCTTCGCGCGATGTGAGCATCAGCGGTTCCCCTTTTGCCAGAGCTCCAGTCTCTCCCAGACACAGCCCATTAGGCCGGTCTGTAGAATCTATATCGTCGAGAGATGGGAACCAAGATTCCTTGATCGACCCACCCACTCAATCTGCACCGAAACCATCGGGATTACGGAGGACGATTCGACAGGCCTCTCCCGACGAGGAGGATGGTGAAATTGGAGAAGCCGACCCGGTTGAGGAGCCGCGGCACAAAGTCCCCGTAGGTGCATCTCGGCTTCATCTGGTCGAATTACCAAGTCTCAAGGTAAGTCCGATTTCTTTTCAACACGCTTGACCATGATAGCAAGCGGCTAAATCCGGACAGATGAAACCGATTTACTGGAGCCCCCTACATGATATTTCGAGCGTATTTCGTGCGACTTGGTTCTACAAGAATACTATGCTACCCGTGGAGACCGAACTCGCCAATAGATTGGAAGATGGCTACAACTACCTGAAGCCATGGACCGAAACATGGCAAGATGAACTTAATAGCTGCGTTGAGAATGGTGCCGATGCCGAATTGAAGATCGTACACAAGCTCTGGCCGAAAGAGAATACAACTAGACCGCCTACAGCTGTGGCTGCTCCAGGTTCTGAAACTCGAAGCTCCACCGCTCGTCTGTCGAACGAAGACAAGCGCAAAAGACCTGAAATCATGCCGTTAGATCTCAACCGAGCTGCGGGTAGTACATCCGCGCAGTCCGACACTGTCAAGCCGTTCTTGAATTCTAGCGTCATCTACGCTGACGCGAGAAACGCACAGATTCTCCGGCCCAGCCTTCTTCCATCTGTGTCAAGGGGACGCAAGCCGCTCAGTGCGATCCGTAAAGGGAGACAGATTGGTATTCCTGTGATTCGTGGCTTCAGTAGACGATTATGGGACCGACTACACCCAAGCAAACCCAGTCCAGTAGACGTGAGGAACTACCTGCGCAGCACCCAATCTCGAGCGATGTCGACGACATCCATTGAGCCCATATGCTATGCATGTGCGATAGAGGAATTGCGGCCTGCTCCCACAGACTTGGTGCTAGTCATACACGGTATTGGCCAGAAACTGTCGGAACGGATGGAGAGCTTTCATTTTACCCATGCTATCAATGCCTTTCGAAGGCAAATTAACGTGGAATTAAACAGCGAACCCGTCTGGCCACATGTGCGCCCAGGCCATGGAGGCATTATGGCTCTTCCTGTCAATTGGCGCTCTACCTTGTCCTTAGATGAAGCCAACCTGGAGTCTCCAGCAGGGGAAGATCCTGCTGCGAACCACTATTCTCTAGACGATATCACGCCGCAGACGATACCGGCTGTCAGATCATTGATCAGCGATGTCATGCTGGACATCCCGTACTATTTGTCTCATCACAAGCCTAAGATGATACGAGCAGTAGTCAAAGAAGCTAACCGCATCTTTCGGCTTTGGTGTGAGAACAACCCAGGATTCCAGCAGAACGGGCGAGTACATCTGCTTGCACATTCCCTGGGGAGCGCCATGGCCTTGGACATTCTCACTCATCAGCCAACGAAGATCCCAACCTTCAACTTTTCCAAAACCGAAGTTCACGGAGACATTTTCGAATTTGATACGAAGAACCTATTTATATGTGGCAGTCCGGCCGGTTTCTTCCTCCTTCTCAACAAAGGTAATTTCAAACTTCGTCCACCTTCTATGTCATGAATTAATCACCCACGTAGCGAACCTGTTACCTCGACGAGGACGAGACAAACCCGGCTGTGAAGGCGACGACCGCCTCCGAGGCGTAGCAGGTGAAGCAGACACATACGGCTGTCTAGCCGTCGACAATCTGTACAACATCATGCACACCACCGATCGTAAGCATCTTACCTCCCTCGCCTCCAACCACCTCATACTAACACGCAACCAGCAATCGCCTACCACGTCAACGCCGCCGTTGACAGCGGCCTCGCCAGATCCCTCCGACCCGCCTCCATCCCAACCTCCGCCGCATCCTTTTGGCAATCCGTAGGCAGCGTATTCCGCTGGAGCACTCCCCCAGCTCTACTCTCGTCAACCACCACCGTCCCCACCCGCCCAGCAACCCTCAACAAACTCCCCACCAACGTCGAATTAGAAACCCACGACTTCACACACGAAGAAATTGCCGAAAAAAGGATGTTCCTCCTTAACGACAACGGCCAGATCGACTACTTCCTCTCTGGCGGCGGCGGGCCCTTGAACATCCAGTACCTGAACATGCTCAGCGCGCATAGCAGCTACTGGACCCTGACTGACTTCGTGCGCTTTATCGTCATCGAAGTTGCTCGCAAACAGGGCAGAGAATATACCCTGCCTGTGCTGAGGGCGGCGAAGAAGAAGGGGTGGAAGATACACAAAGGCTGATGCGGTGGCCTGGCCTATGCACTTACGAAGTTTTGCATGAATTGCGCTTTGTTCTTCTATCTATTCATCCTTGTCTAAGCCTACTGAGTCATGTTTGGTTAGCATGTGCGACTGGTCCTGGGAATCTTGTGGTGCAGATACTGATCTAATACTTGTTTTCTTTGGTGGTAGCGATACCCTTGTTTTGGAGTTCAGAGTGCGATATGATACAATAACTTCAGATCATGTTTTGCATAGAATTTTGTACTCTTGCACATTTGGGGCAAATAATGAAGAAAATACATTACGCGGAAACAATCCGAGTTAAGTAAGTAACGAAGTAGTGCTTGCATACCATAAAGTAATGTAATTTTGATTATAGCTGTGCTATATATCCTACCAGAGCAAAAACCTTGTTGTAAAATCTCATCATTTCTCCGGCACCACAGCCCCCATCATCAACGCCTCAACCAACGACCCCTTCTCCACCTTTCCAGTACCCGGCTTCAGCACCAACAGCGCATTAGCACTCGCCAAACTACCCACTCTGGAGCTACGCTGACCCACCCCCTCCAAACCCGTACTCATAGCATAGAGCCGACCATCTTCGCGCGACGCCGTAACAATCGCGCGATGATACTCGGTTCGTTTCTTATCCACGGGGAACGGATGCGCCAATGCCACAGACACAAGCGGAAGGCCTAGGGGCGGGGAGATCCCAGCGGGGGTGATCTTGCGCTGTTCCATGCCCATGAGCTTGTGGAGGGAGGGCAGTACGAAGAGGTTGAGGGTGACAAGCGCGGAGGCAGGGTTACCGGGGAGGGAAAAGATGAGTTTGGTTTCGCGTTCTTGTTGCTGTCCTGAGGACGATGATGGTGTGGAGGAGGGCTTGAATGGGATTGTGGCGAAGGTGGTAGGTTTGCCTGGTTTCATGGAGACGCGGCCGAAGTGGATGGTTCCGCCGAGGGATCGCTCAATCGTGGGTTTTAGGAGGTCGAGTTCGCCCATTGAGACGCCGCCGGTGGTGATGATTACATCGACGCTGGATTGGGCTTTGCCGACGCCTCTGAGGGCGTCGCGGAGGCTTTGCTCCAGTTCTCCGACTGGGGTGTCGCGGGCGATGCCGAGGTCGACGGTGGGGAAACCCCAGGAGGTGAGGCAGGAGAGGAGGGACGGGCGGTTCGAGTCGCGGATTTGGCCGCCTTGGAGCTTGCGGGGGTCGTTGTGTTCGACGAGTTCGTCGCCCGTGCTGAGGACTCCGATGCAGGGTTTCTTGTAGACTTTCACGGTCTGGGTTCCTGTTGCGGCCAGAAGGCCGATCTCGCCGCCTACCGAGGTGATCAGGTCGCCTTTGCGGAGGATGCAGGACCCCAGAGCTACGTCGCTGCCTGGTTCGCGGACGTTTTCTTGGGGTTTGATGTCGCCGGTTAGGATCTCCACTGTTGCTTCTTCTTGGCCGTCAGGGGTCGAGGAGGCGAGGACGGTGTCTTCGACCATTACTACGGCGTTGGCGTTGGGGGGAAGCGGTGCGCCGGTGGTGATTCGGGCTATGGTGCCTGGTTCGAGGGGGGATAGAATGCCTCCTTCGTTGGCGTGGGTTATGGATGCAACGGGGAAGATTCCCTTAGTGCTGGGGCCAGCATCGGGTGATTCGGGGGCGATGACGGCGTAGCCGTCGACGATGCTGGCACGGTATGCGGGCACGGCTTCCCTCGCGTAGACATCTTCGGCAATGACGGATCCAACGAGAGCGGTTGTCACCGGGGCTTCAATGATTGTCGGTTCAGGCGTGTGTTGGCTGATGAGTTTGAGCGCTTCGTCAACAGAGAGCATTGGGTACGGAGACTCGCGGTATCGACGGTTTGGGCCAGCGTTGGGGTCGTTTGACTGGGGACGTTCTGACGGGGAAGTATGTGCGCGGGGAACGGCATGTCCATGACTATGATCATGACCACCGTGATGATGATGATGGTGGTGGTGATGGTGATGGTCTGCCTTGCTGCTAGAGGGAGATGGTGCAGACACCCCTGCCTCGGCTTCCAGCTTCTTGACCCCGCCTGCGTGCAGGGCTCTGGAGTTCGCGCCAGCCGCCTGGCTACACGCATGCGGCAAGAGCTTGATGATTGCTTCGAGGTTCTCCTTGGCCCCTTTGGGAGATCCCGGTACGGTGACTATCAATGTCTTGTCTCGCACGCCTGCAACAGGACGAGACATCATTGCAACTGGTGGTGTTTGTTAGCAGGCGAGTATTGCAATGTTGTCGCTGACGGCCTTACAAGGGGTGACTTTGAGAGAAGCTGCAATCATGCCGTGTCTAGGTGCAGTAGGTTAGTATCGGTCATGAATCCGACATAGGAGAGCTGGAGTAGACGCACACTAGGCCTGATGCATGGCGATGGATGAGAGGCGATACGGCCTGTCTGGCATTAGCATTGAAATACGAAGCCCAAGGGCAGGTAGAAGATCGACCTCAGGCGTGATATCCTTCGTAGCAAACCCAGTACCACCGCTTACAACCACAAGATTGACCCAGTTTGGACCATCGGTCCAGTCACAAATGGAGCGTTGGATCTCCAACACATTATCGGGGACGATCTTGATAACGGGCGTGCCCCAGTTATTCGACCCTTCGTCTGAGATGACGGTAGTCAGTGTGTCTCCCACTCTATCTGTGGATGGATCTTGCGAGGCGGTATCTGAGACGATCAAGATCGCCGCTTTGAGGGTGTTGTCTGCCATTGTAGAGATGTGAGGGGTTGTTGGAGAGTCTCCTGCCGAGACGGCGGGGAGAACGGAGATGGATGTTGATAAGAGCGGAGGCTGCTTGACTGGCCGGATTGGTGACCCGCAGCGCCTACTACAGTATGAAGTATGCTGCACACATACTACGAAACTGCTACTGCAGCTTGTACCTTACGACGTAAAATACTTGTGCTTGCTATTTATCTTCTTTTGTAAAATGTTCCTATGATATCTCCTAGCAATTACTGTACACCTTTCCTCCTCTTCTTTCCCCATCAGGCAAAACAACAAAAACAAGACTATCAATGCAATTCACGCATAGCCAACCGGTCTACAGTCAAATCGAATCCATGCGCCCAATGCGGCCTATAAATAGGACAAATAACAGAAAAGTGAAGACAAGAATGATATAGGTCGTACAGATCATCCCCATCATAGCCCTCTACATCTCCACCAGCAGCATTCTTTAAGCAGCTCCAAAGTCGAGTGCCTTTCCTCCAACCAGAAGCCCAACAATCAATCCGAAGAGACCGAGAACGGAGCTGAAGATTTCGATAACCAGAATCTTGACGAACCTATCGTGCATATTGTTAGCGTTCACTCCGCTAATCGAATGAAGGGGCTGACGAACAAGCTAGGGTCAGCAGCATCGGCCAGGGCCGCACCACTTCCGTTAATACCGACGGAGATACCGCAAATCAGGTTGCAGGCGCCCACAGTGATACCGCCCCAGAACAGCGCATATCCGGTGTAGTAGTTGCTGCCAGAGAAGGCCTCATCGCCTTCAACGAGGTTGAGCTTGGAGGAGAAGACGATGGCCATGATGACACCATAGATAGCCACGACCTCACAGAAAATAATCGAGATCAAGTTCTTGGTACGGATTCTGGGTGCTTTGACACCTCCACCAACAATCGAGGAGCCGGTCAAGAAGATACCCCTGATCGGAATGAAGTCAGTATCCCATTCTCAATGACACAAGCGGGACTTGTAAAGCCATACCATGCCGCACCAACCACCGACAAGCCAATGCACATGGCAATTCCAAAGTTCGCCCAGGCATACGGAGACACCGACTCGAGGAAGTAGCCGATCTAGATCGAATTAGCGGGTGTTCACTGGTCATCGTGGTCGTAGGGGTCCGTGACGTACGTTGATCTGTTCGCCTTCACCGCGGAAGAGGTAGTCTAATCATGAAAACAAAAAGAATTAGTATCTTGATAAATCTCACCGCGCCAGAATGATGGTTTACTTACACAGTCCTACCACCGCTGCTGCCACGATTACAACACCGGAAGGATAGAGGAGACCCATGATGAAACCCCGGTTTTCGGCACTGCCTGAGTGCTGAAAGATATCAAGAAAACAAGCGACGGGGGCCCCGAAGAGGAGAGGAGCAGAAGATAGGGAGTCAGACGAGGAGCGTAGGGAGCTCTTGACCGAAGCGTGTAGCTGGAACAAGCCGCAAGTACAGCGGGAGGTGGAGGTCGGGCCGCCGATTAATCCGCGGGCGTGTGCTTGTCAGTCCATCATCCCAGTTTAATACAAATACGGAGTACATAATACTGTCCAAGTTCCCCGGACCGATCCATGGGTCGAGCTCTCCAGTCATCGTCGTCTTGCTAAACCTCCCTGCTCCCCGATATATACGGTCGCTTTTCGAACCTCTCGTCACTCCCCCAGATATACTTCCACCCCAATATATGTCCTTGTATTCCTAGTGCCCTCCTCCCACTTGACCGTTGTCCACCGCCTTAACACTTGTTGACTTTGCGACGTGCCTCCGCTACCCCTGATTCCGCCACCACTCCTACTATCAGAACATCTGCAGTCATGGCATCCACCTCCGGGGTAGGGTCGTATTCGAACCCTTTGAAGAAGTTCAAGTATGTCCCGTCTGCAGTATATCTCCCAGCTTTCCTGAATATGCGGCTAATCGAATTGCAGGCTGGTTTTCTTGGGCGAGCAGAGTGGTACGGATATCTTCTGCGACAATACTCCCACCATTGGCGCCACCCGGTCTCTGACATCTCCCTCACAGTTGGAAAAACTTCCCTGATCACACGGTTCATGTACGACTCGTTTGACAACACGTACCAAGCTACCATTGGAATCGATTTCCTGTCAAAGGTATGCTACGCCTAGTCGACTGCTTATCCTGCATTAGCAGGCCCTCACCCGAGCCATTCTCACCCGGTCTCATGGTTCCCCATACGCTCGCGCTGCTGCAGGAAGCTAATTCGCATTGCCCATCCTAGACTATGTACTTGGAAGATAGAACCGTTCGCCTTCAACTTTGGGACACAGCCGGTCAAGAGCGTTTCCGATCCTTGATTCCTTCCTACATCCGTGACTCGAGTGTCGCGGTGGTGGTCTACGATATCTCCAACGCCAAGTCTTTCCAAAACACACGCAAATGGATCGATGATGTACGTGGGGAGCGCGGTAACGATGTGATCATCGTTCTGGTGGGCAACAAGACCGATTTGAACGACAAGCGCGAGGTCACGACGGCGCAGGGCGAGGAGGAGGCGAAGAAGAACGGCTTGATGTTCATCGAAACCAGTGCTAAAGTCGGTCACAATGTGAAGCAGCTTTTCCGGAGAATTGCGCAAGCCCTACCGGGCATGGAGGGTGAAGCCAACCGGGGAGACAACCAAAGTCCGTTACCCTTTCCCCGCCCATGGCTTAAGTTACACGGGATGAGTACTGACGGCTGTGACAGTGATCGATGTCAACATCACCCCCAAAGAGACCACGACCAACGACGGATGCGCCTGCTAGATGTTGTACTCTCTAATTCGTTCTACCCCGGCCATACTCCCTACTACTTGCGATCCCTCTCTATCTGTGCCTGAATCTCAATGATGAGGCTTGAGATTGTCCATAATGCTCTTCATTTTTAAGATGTACATTTTTCTCCCTTTATGTTCCAGGTGAATAGCGTGTTTAGATCAAGCTTGAGCTTTTCTCTTTTTTCTATTGAATGCGTCTTATCTTGCTCTTCCTGAAACCTTACCTTGAAATCCGACTTTTGACGGGAGACCCAGGCGTTCGGCTTGTGCATTGACATCATATTGCATTTCCCCGCGGTTTCCCGACTTTTGTGCTGTTTTCTTGTCTGTGTCGCTTGTTCCGGGAGCATCATGGATGATAATGATGATGCTACTGCTGCGATTTGTTAGAAATACCACTACTCCAGATGGCGTTCATGTTGCAATGGCCAAGTCATGGGTGGCATAAGCTTTTGTTGGGATCGGTGGCTCTACCAAGTGCTGCGGTTCTTCGTCGTATGATCAACGGGGGGGCAGTGACGATTAGGTTATCGTGTCAACCGCTCATCCCGGCGATCTGACTAGTCTTGTCGGAGAAAAATCAACAACATAATGGGGAAAACCCTTTCAAGATCAGCCCCTGAGAGAGGAATTCATGCACAATGGTGGGTTCGATAGTAGGCAGGCCATCAGGCAGTAGCATTGGTCGTACTCGTATTATGTCTTGGCAAGCACAGGTCAAGCAGAGTATGTACGTACGACATGCACAGTCTAGTACCTCCTAGTCGGTAGGGGATCCATCCAGACGGGGGGGCGAAAGAGGTTGGGTAGAATTAGGGCCACCATCGAACAAGAAATTGTTTGATTTCGATATCAATACTGTTTGATCGCAGCCTTATAATATAGTCAGTATTACAGGGGTTGTATGTATGTAGCTTTCTGGTGTTGTTGTTGCTTACAGCGAACAAACAACGTCATGGGGCAGCGCATTGGCGGTGACCACAGGGTCTGTTGCAAGCAACACCAGCAAGAAAAGGGCATCGATCGGCGGGCGGATCGCCCGGAAAATCGTGCCCCTGTGAAACCCGCAATTGGGCGCCAGCGTCACTTAAACACGCCCTGCTGCGTCCTTTCAATCTCGCTCTTCCCGCCAGCCCTTCCATTCCTTTTCCTCTTTCTGTCGCTCCCTTCCTTCCACCTTCCACCACCACCACCAACAACCCTCCTATCTCCCCCTCTCCTACATAACATTCCCTCAACTCTGATATATCTCCTCGGCGATATCAATCATGGGTTTATCAACCCGTCTCTTCCGCATCCCGCGGCCAGAGGTATGTTTCAACATTACACACCCTCCCGGCGTTTAAATGAAAAAAATTAGGATGGGCACCCAGACCCTGTTTGGACCCCGTTGCCCGGTCGCGCGCTGTAATGAGGCTAACCATCGCATCCCGGCTTTCCGGTCACCTCACACAGACCTTTCTCTATGTTATGAGCCTTCAAACCGGAGCTTCCTTGATCACTCTCTCCTTACTCCTCAACAAAATTAGCGGACTCTATGGCTTGCTCGCCCTGTTGACCGGTTACCACCTCTCCCCGGTGCAGCTGTCCATGTACATTTACTCCCTCCTCGCGCTCGGCCTCACAGCTCTGCTCTTCCCGCACATCCGGAAACAAACGCCACTACAATGCCTCGCGCTCGCTTGGCTCTATGTCTTCGACAGCCTGATCAATGCCGCCTATACTGCAGCTTTCGGTGTGACCTGGTTCCTGGTTGTGTCTCAGCATTACGATAACGGCAACGCCTCGGGACCGGGTGGTGAGACCATCGCCCAGACCGCTGGCTTCACCAGCCCCAAGTACGACGACACCACCAAAACAGGGAGCGGTCACTACGCAAGGAGACCGGATGCTCTCGGAAACGCTGTGGCACAGCCCGAAAGCTTCCAAAGCATCTTTGTCATTTGCTGCCTCTGGGTTATTCGCGTCTACTTCGTCTTCGTCATGCTCGCTTTTGCTCGTCAGGCCCTCCGTCTCTACGTCGCCGTCCCTCGCCACACCCAGCTTCCAACCCACAGCCGTAATACCTCCATCGCAAGCGTCGCCAGTATTGCGGACATCGACCGGGAGCCTTTCTCCCCGTATAGCCCTGATGGCCAAGGTTGGCAAGGAAAGCTCGGGCGCATCATGATCAGCATCGGTCGCAACTACTGGCTCGGCGAGGATGAAGAAGGCGGGAACTGGATGGCCACCCTTGGCCGCCGTTTCCGCGCTCGTGCTGAAGACACCGAACTTCCTGGCCCTCTCGAGCGGGAGAGAAGACGTCGCTCGGGAACTGGGCCTCCCCAACCCTCCCAGTCCGCTTTCCAAGCTGTAGCCTTACAACAACCGATCCATGAACAGGTCCCAGGCATGAACGTCAAGATGAACGGTTGGACCGAGAGCAGGTAATTCTGCGATCGTCTTGCATTAAAACTTCAATTGAGGATCCTCGGTCTCTGACCTGGTAATACATTTCAAAACTACCAAGGGGCGCAAGGGCGCATCTCGGCGGACATGATCAGTCACCGTCTGCCATATCGCACAGAAGGACAGAGCAAGAGCTTGGTTCTTGATGACGATGCCACACCCTACTGTGGAGGGCTCACAACTCCATAGCTTCCCCCTTTGTGTCCACTCACGCTACGTGGTTTTCCTTTCAAACCTGTTATTATATATGCCGAAATGATCTACATACACTGTTTATGAATCGGGACAATGGGGGACATAGGGGAATAAGGGAGGACGGTACCGCGCTTCTTCGGTCCTGGCTTGTGCAGCGATGGCGTGATGTCGAAACGACATTCATCAAATAGCCACACGCGCGCGAAAGGCGCGGGCTACCAGGCGCCATCATAGCTGGAAGGATGAACATATATTGGCTTTTGAGGAGGGTTGTCGTCACGGCCGACATGGACTTGGCGTCTGGGACCTGTATATTTGTATCGACATAGGGATGGTTCGGTCGAGGCGTTTTCTTGTTTTCAGGGTACATTTTTGTCGCATCATGCTAGGGATTTGCATATATTTCTTCCCCCATCATACTTGGGCACCCGAGAACAGCGTCATATATTTTATGTGCAAGAAATAGATACCCCTCGCCAATCTTGATCCGTCAGCTGTCACTGGCAATAATTTGTGGCTTGGTTTCCATAAGATCGGATGGAATTGTGCTGTATAATTATCTACTATGCATCTAATGTCTGATCCGAGTTATCTCCGATGCTGTCTCGCCCGAGAAAGCATGATGTCAGTTGTATGTCTGAAGCGAAGCCCAGCAAAGCCCGCGAGAAATCCCGATGTAATTGCATGATAGTACACAAATCTACTAGTAGTATGATTGGAGTACGTGAAAGAGTCATAACATCTAAGTTACTATTGGTTGCCAGTAGCACCGATACATGGGTTTGACTGAATATATATCCGACTACCATGAGCAGGGTGAACTCGGCATCAAGCTTTAGACATTACTAGTAGATAAAGGCACCAAGGTTTATACTAGTAACCGTAGTGTTCTTTGTATAACAAATGAATTTATTTCAATACGATGAGATTAACTCAAGTCTGTGTGAATCATTCTGATGTTGTTGTAGTTACTAGTAGTTGTACTAGTAAGTAGTTCGTGCTTTGAAATCCGCCGGCATTCAGAGCAAAAGCCGATAACTGCCTGATGCTCGAGGCATCAACGGGGTGACGTGCTCGAGGGCCAGTCACGAGGCCCCCGCACTTGACCTGATCGGGGATGTTTGCAAGGCCGTTCAGCGGCTGTTTGCATCGATGTCGTGATCGCAATCCAATCAGCGTCGGGCTAATCCAACCCCGATGGCGGAGAAGGGCCCCAAAAGTCTATGAGGAGCAGAACCATTGCTCGTCGCTGCACGGAGTTTTGTAGAAAAATTAGGGAAAGACGGGCTGAGTGTGAAGCTAAAATTTCCCCTGTCTTTACCTGGAGTCATTCCACTTCTCCTCTTCTTTTTCCTCCTCTTTCTCCTACCCCATTATCCTCATTAATTGATCTCGAATTGAGTGGGGAGTCACCGTATGCGGTGATATCCATTTCTCTCTGCCATCCCACTTCCTGCGCTTTACGCTGCGCAGCTAGCAATTGTCAATATGGCATCCGTTTCGACTGCGGGTGAAGCAGGTATGTTGTTCCTCTGGTTCCTCTCTTTGTGTGATTGGAACTCTATCATTCAAAGGAATCATTCATGGTCCGATCTGAGTGCTAACCATTCTTCTGATGCTTCCAGTGGCGAGAGTCGCTTACTTGGCCAGCGATGTCGTTCTCTCCGTTCAGCCATCATTGCAGGCCGATTCCTGGTTCTCCAAGACTCTCAAGACCCTGAAGGCCAGCAATGCCCGTAGCATTCTGCCCCGCGGTGTCACTGACGTGAGTCACACTGTTCATAAGGACTGTATGAAGGCAGATCTAACACTCTGCACAGGTTGTGGCTGTTCGCTATAATGAAGATCCCCTCCTCTCCGCTTTCCACCCTCTGCAGACTGGAAACACTGTGTCTGTCGTGACCACCTCCTCCACCTTGCTCTCCTCCATCCCTCACCTCTACCGTCTGGCGAACACCCCTGTCGTCATCCATGTCGCTCTGGAGCCCTACCCCTTCCCAGATTACTCCGTGATTAGCTCTATCAGGCAATGCGGGTTCACTTTCCTGCACTCCGAGACGCTCCAGGAGGCCCAGGACATCGCTATCACTGCTCATGCGTTGTCCCGCAAGTCCGGCAAGGGTGTCATCCACTTCTTCGACCCTGCCAACTCCGCTCGCGATGACGCCATTGCTGAGGAAGACGTTGAGGTCCTTCGGTCTGTCCTCAACTTGGGCGGAAGCTCTGTGACACATACCTCTGGCCTGGGTGCCCAGACGCTGTACACTGACTCCGGACGGGTCGCTACAGTGACTGAGGATGTGGACACCACCACCAGCCAGGTCGAGGGTTCTTCCACCCCTGCTC